TCACTTCCGTTTTCTTTCTTCCTAAAAGAAAAAAAATCAGATGGAGCAAAAAAACAAATCCTTTTGCAATGCTTCAGTGAGTAATTTGACATTTGCTCTGATTTGTATCTGTTCATTTTCTGGGTTTTAAAAACAAAGGAAACACACCACAGTTTAACACTGTACAAAGATGTGGTGATAAAACCTGTCAAAACTGTTGATGAACCTGAGGGACGCGTCTCCACATGTTTTAGGTTTGAAATTTGGACATTTTCTGACTGACTTCCATCTTTATCTGCAGGTAAACAACTTAACTACCGTAATGTTCCACTGTAATCGGTACAATTTCGTACAGTTGCTACTTAAACAGCACAGTGTGTTAGCAGAACAAGCTAGGCTTAGCCTAGCCGTAGTGGTGTTGTATATACTGCAGTATCTGTCATTTTTGATTGGGAAAGTGCAGGTTTACTAATAATTGAATCAGGCCATTAATGATTTAGAATGCTGCAGAATAAAATATTTGTCGCATTGTTGTTGGACGTGTGTGGCTCAAAAGAGGGGGCGCTTTGCAATTCAAGTATTCCATTTGAATGCATTAGTTTGTTCTTCTTAATTACTGTTGTAAAAAATGTTTCAACGTAGAATATCATTTTTTGTTTTGCTTTTAGCTAATGAAGCGGGGCGATGGATCCGCATTTATACTGCCCCCTGTTGGTGAGGGCTGAAGGTTTATGACTGTAAACACTAAGGCATCTCATCTCCTACATTCAAATGTCTTGAGTCGCCTGACAGACGAAGACAGATACGGTCGACTCAGGCGAACATATCGGGACATGTACTTCATGATATACAAGTACAAGTACATGCCAGGCTGACATGTACTTGTACTGTATGTACTGACGGTGGGCTTTAAAGCCTGGATCGTGCCAACAGGCAGGTTTGGAATGGTGAGGTGTGTGTGTCTGTGTGACTAATGAAGCAGGTCCAGGAGGACAGGTCCAGGAGGACAGGACCAGTCGTCGGGAATATAAACAACGTATTTTTGTAACTGTTTAGAGAACGAGTCATAAACACTGATAAGAAGCTTCGCCAACCACGACGTGGAACGCAGACAGAAGTCAGTTCTCCTGAGGAGGTGTGTGTGTTTGGGTCTACTTCTGGTATAGTTGGACCTCAGGAGACGTTTTGCAAGTCGTAACTCAGCGAAAGGTTAGTGAGAGGTTCTGGATTTGCATTTGATTAAGATGAGGAATATAATCCAGATAATTGGGTAAGAGAGCAGGGAAAGTATGATGGTTTAGTAAAGTTTATGGGAGTTATTGTAATTATTATTATTAAAACCACTGTGTGTGTGTGTGTGTGTGTGTGCCTACGTGCACGTGTGTCAAGCAGTGAACAGCAGTGTTGAATAGTAAGACAGTGCAAAGTGCAAAGCTGCCCTGTTTACTGCGAGCAGGACTAACAACGGCCTCCCCGCCGTGCGTTTGAAGTTGAAAGGCAGATGTTGAGTTGCTCAAACGTTAACCAAACGTCAACTCGCGCCCGGTAGGTACCAAACAAACGCGACAGCTAGAAGACAGCTGAAGAAAACGACCCAGACGAACGTCTCCGCCGTTCCAGCCGCCACGATGCGTTTCAAAAAGTGACGGCGCAGACAAAGGTGCAGTGATGCCTGTTTCACTGGAGGGATTACAGCCGCTGACATGTGTGCAGGAGGCATGTACACACTTCTCAACACAGATTCAATTCAAGTATATTAAAAAAAAAAACACTTTCTTTGTCCCCCAGAGGGCAATCAAAGTCATAACATGTTCCGTGAAAAAAAACTCGCCCTGAAGCTACGAGATGTCAGTGGTTCTTAGGTCCTCAGATATTTGTCTTGATGATAGGTTTATGACGTGTAAAATGATCTCTTTTTTTTAGTCTTCACCTAATGCCAGATTTTACTGACAGTTCTGAAACAATGCAAATTACAGCATTTGACTGAACCTTCATTTCTGCTGTTCCAATGCTTTATTTGGCCTCGTTTATTCATTAACTTTCATTCAGCAAATCCTGCTTCTATCAAACTCTACTTCATTCTTACGGCTCCATCTGAATCCTTGTTCAAATTTATGCAGTATTCCACGAAAAAAAAAAAAAAAAAAGAGCAAACACGGCGAGGAGCCCAGTACGGGCACATCTGCTTCTAAGTGTTGACATGTGTTCGCTGGAACAATTTCTTGGAGCGAATATTCACATCTTATCAAAGCAGGAGAACCTGTCAAGATGTGAATGGAGATATTTTCTCCCCTGACGCTCGGCTTGAAACAAAGCCACAGATATCAAGTCCTGAGACGACTCAGAATATTCTCTCCTTCCATACAAGTGATTGTGGTTGAACGACACGCTGGTTTTAATGAGCATCAAATGAAGCGTGTTGATTTTTTTTCTGAATGGCACAGTTTTAGTCCCGTCAGTCAGATACCTCTGAGCATCACCTTGGGAGTATTAGCCTGTATTCGGTACTCGTTTGCTAACGCAGAGCTAATTCATGCTATCGACCTGACATGAAGTTAACATGAATTGTTTGGTGTTCATTTAGTCACCGTGTTCCTCCTTCGACTTCCTCCGTCCCTGCTTGTTGTTTTCAGACTGTCTTCCTAATCTTCTTTGACTGAACTAAACATTTTCACTCCTCTTTGTCGGCCGAGGTTGTTATCATGACTGAGTTTGTACTAAATTATTTCAGAAATAAACTCATTTGTCACGGTTCGTATTCGATGACACGTGCCTTTAGAAACGCCAACGTGTTCGGCACAATGGAGCAGACGATCATTTACAAGTTTACTGCAATTGATTTGGACAATCCCTGTCCTCTGTGTCTCATAGTTTGTCTATTAAACGGAGTAAAGTTGAAACTTAGATGTTGAAGTCTGTGAATGTGACAGCTGAGGGAAGAGAACCACAGCGGCAGGGAAAACGATGGAGTAATCCAAAAGGATACCGCACAGGAAAGCGAGGCATTCCTTCATCAGTCGTGTTGTGCAACAATCATGCAACACCAGTGGTAAATATTGGTATCTATTCCAGTCGATATGGTTTGATATATATGAACTTATTTTTTATGTATTCAATTGTTTGGAGAGTTTGGGAGTTCATAACTCCAGTCACCTCCAGCTTGACTCAGAGCTGACTATCGCCCTAAGAGCGAGGCTTTAAGAGGTTTACTCCAGAAGTGCCAGCTTTTCAACCCACTCCATGAGAGAAGTCTCTGCTACGGTGAGTCAATAACCTGTAAAACTGACTGAGGTGCACGCACAGGACCGTAAGAAAGCTTTAAGATCCAGATGGAAGTAATTGGGCAAGTGCACTTCAAAACAAAAACAGAGACCGATTTTTTCTTTTTTTCTTTTACTAGAACGTGAGATTTAGGGAAAATCAGTGGGGTATATAACCCCCGCCAGGTTCAACTGTTTTATGCCAGAGCTTTTATGTCATAGTAAAACTCTTCTGTGATAAGTAAACACTTAGAAGGGTTTTAGTGACTTGGACAGAGCTGTCATTAACCTGCAGAGTTAATATCAGGCTTTATGATTTCAGCCTGATCATTTTGGTTTGTTAATAACAGTTAATACGTACACACCTAAAACAACCAGGTAAAATGAAATAAATAATAAAAAACAGAATTTGCCATTTGAATGGTCAAAACATGGAATACTTCATTAGGTTTTATTCTAAAATATAATTAAAAAAATATTTTTTAAAAAGGAGTTGGAGGGATATTCCATACTGAAATCTACATCTTTGTGTTAAATCAATGATTTAATTCACTTTTTTATACCTATTAAGTGCAATGAAACAAAAAAAGCATTAATTTTTTATACCTATTAAGTGCAATGAAAAAGCATTAGTTTTTATGGTCAAACTTCTTTAACCCAACCTGCACTGCTGATTTAAAACCTGATTAAAAAAATCGTCAGAGCTTGAGAGACCGACTACAGCAGCAAACAAAGAGGTTTAGGTTTAGGTTTACCTTAAACCGTCTCAACAGCTGCCTCGTGTCAAAGTGTCTGACATGTGTTATGACTGCCAAACAATATAGAGATTCTTTCCCTTCAGACCTGCAGCGAAATAGAAGAATGAGGGATTAGGCCGGTTACTGCAGAAAACCACGCTGTACGAGATTCTGTGGAGTCAGTCGGGTTTGGGTTTCAGGCCCCGATCACTGACACGTTCGTCTGTAGCTGCCTGACAGTCATCAGCAGGTGATGGAGCTGCATCACCTGCATCACATGACACTAAAACTGCTCCACGTTGAACCTGTGACATCGACTGGTTCCACAGGGCAGCCAGACCACAGCACAGGTCAATCCATAAATATAGAAGTGTGTATTGAGTGTGTGTATGTATGTGAAAATATCTGAGCATCATACATTATTTAAATTGGTCTCAATCTGTGTGACTGCTATTATATGAAACCTTATTTTAGCAAGTAGCCATATTTAAAAAAAAACCTCAATGATAATAATAATAATTATTATTATTTTTTTATTATTGCATTTAAGCACTAATTTTAATTTTTTATTATTGCATTTAAGCACTAACATAACTACAGTGCTGTCAGTATGATTGCAATTTAACATATATTCTTATTTTAATTGTATTCAATTACATTGGCTGTATAATAAATATCGCAAATAAAATATGAATCTGTATTTTAGTATAATTTTATTATTTTCTTACAATTAGGAATTTAATAAATATAACACAAAATATAATTCATATAATTGCTGAGATTTGAATAATTGGATTGTTGGTTCTTGTTATTGTTGTTATTGTGACGGTTAGTTTCATTTTTATCGTTAAGTTTGAAAACTGTTCCACTTGACTTCAACAACACCAGGTCAAACACTTGATCCTGGACTCCTGCAGAGTCACAGTCAGCCCCACTCAGGTGTACTGTAGTACACCGTAGTACTCTGTAGTACACCGTAGTACACTGTAGTACACCGTAGTACACTGTAGTAGATGGTACTCACCCACACACTCGTTGGCCTCTCTGGCTGTGGCTCTCTGCCAGGGTCTGTCATAGTGGAAAGGTTTGCACCTGTCGCATTCCGGCCCGGCCGTGTTGTGTTTGCACTCGCACACCAGACTCCCATCCCTGTCCTTTACGCACCGGGACGCGTGTCCGTTACATTTGCATCTGCCCCCGACCTGCAGGTCGGATACGGCGTAGAAGTACGAGTCCCGAGCCAGCTCCGAGTCGTCCTCGTTCTCGTCCCCGAACGTGTGCAGGCGGCTGAAGACGACTTTGATATCGGTGGCCGTGACCCAGTCCTGCAGCACCGGAGAGTTGTCGAAATCGTGCGCCGACGGTCGACCGTCCAGCGTGCTGAAGGCGATGAGGCCCCCGGTCAGAGGATACATGTCGGTGTGGGAGTCCGTGCACACGGCCTCCTGCTCGTTCTGTTTGGTGATGACGGCCCTGTTCGGTTTGTTGTACATCTTCCTGCACTGGGTCGAGTAGAACTGGAACGGCACCCAAGTTTTACCGTAGTCCATGGACTTGTAAATAGTCATGGATTCCGGTCGAGGCGAGCAGAACTGCAGGCTCACGTAGGTGACCTCGAATTTCTTTGCCAGGGACAGGGTGAGGGTGACGTTCTGCGGGAACTGGATGAAGTTCTCGGACTGCCAGCAGGTGAGGTTGTGGGGGTTGTTGAGGTCCGTCAGGTAGGCTGGAGGATGGTACTTCTTGGGGTCTGAGGCATCGCAGGTGTGACAGTTCCTGGTCCTCTCGTCTCCTTTCTCCGCCGATGTCACCACGCAGTAGCGGCTGGGCGTCTTACCGCAGGTGCTGGAAACCTTCACTTCCTTCCCGAAGGCGGCGTTGACAAAATCCGGGATGCAGCGGCGCGGATTGCCGTTCTCGTCGTAACACGGGTCTGGCGGAGAGGTCTGCGCCGCGAACAGGCTCATGCCGTACCCGCCGAGGACGCAGCTGGATGACAGCGCCAGGATGACCAGCGTGGACAGGGCAAGATCTCCAGCCGTCATCATCGTTGGTCCTGCGGTGTCCTTAGTGTCTCTGCGGCCGGAGAAGAAGAAGAGTCAGACAGCGAACACGTGGGGAGAGAGAGAATAAAGTTTGTTATTCAACTCCGCGTCTGCAGACACAAACGACAGAGAACAACGAGAGATCAGTGAGGATTCTGTATTTTTTGTTTTACATTTTAATGTGATTCTCCTTTTACCTGAGAACTGAAATAAAATCGTTGTGAGAACGCCGGCACTGAAGAGCTGCTCTGCTGTGTTGTATTAAGCGCAAAATCACCGCTCACCGCAGTTTGTATCTTCATGAAAAAACGGGGAGGTGCGCGATTTAAGGGCTGCTGGTGTCCTAATAAGAAGTCCCACTCCTCCTGTACACTCTCTCCCTCTCTCTCTCTCTCTCACTCTCTCTCTCTCTCTCACTCCCACTCCCTCCCACTCCCTCTCTCTCTCTCGTTGATCTTTCTCTTATTTGGCCCAGCTTCAGATCAGCACATCATGATGACTGACCTAAAGGGGGAACAACGACATCCACTGGCGGCGAATAAGTGAGAAGATTGATAAGACGAGAAATGAGAAAATGTCCCAGGAGTCACAAACCGCAGCCGATCTTTACCAGACGTGTTTTATTTTTCACCAGACAAATGGATGTTTGTTTAGGCAGTGGGCTGAACGGACTGACTGTCTGTTCTGATTCGGCAGAATTCGTGGTATCCAGTCATGAATAAGGCGAGAAAAATAAAAATACATATCGGTGTGAAAATAATCGTGTAAATAAATATATGAATATTATCAAATGAGACAAGAAAATTACGATTCAGAGACATTTGTTTTTTAAAACCCCAAGAGGTTTCAACTGAAACTGCACCTTCAAAGAAATATTTTACTACCATTTTTCGATTATTAAGAACAAACCGACAGATTTACATACATCTGTCGGTTTTATTTTACTTTTTGAAAATTAAAAATAAGATACTTGCATGTAGTCAGTAATACACACAGGATGCAGTGCCTTCCTTTAGGAGTGGACAGGATATTTTCTTGGTCATTGTGACTCAGTACCTGTTGCATGCTCACGGCAGAGCTTTCATCGCCATCTTGTGGCCATGGAAGGATGACAACGGTGAACAGTCTGCAGAGAGTACATCTCCCAGGCGGTGGAGGCATTTCACCGTCTAAGTACAGGCAGTTTGTCCTCTGCTGCTCTGTGTACTAGAACCTGAACATGGAGACATTTGGAGTCTGGGGGACAAACCTCGGTTTTAATTTCAGTTCTCAAACTATGGTTTACATACCGCTCGTGGTACTTGGACTCCCTCTAGGAGTACGCAGAAAAATCTGACTCTTGTTTGGATCAGGTTAGTCACTCAGTTGTAACAATACGTCTGTCATTTATTCTTTCCTACTGTGTTTGTGGCTAATGTGGCTAATGATATTATTAGAAATTGATCTTTTTCTAGTACTTATTTATATTTTACTGTTGTTCATAGTAGTGGATTGGCTTAGGGGGATATTTTATCATTGACTTAACCAATAATCATAATCACTTCTAAAAATGGGTGGTAACGCCACTTGGAATATGAAGGAATATTTATACAAGAACACGCTAAGCCACCAATCATTTGTAACAGGCACTCGGAAGGAAAAAACATGATGAGTGGCTACATGAGCAGAGGATCTCTGTGCAGTTAGTCCTGGAGCACACGTGTCAAACTCAGGCCTGGGGACCAAATCTGGCCCACAGTATAAAGCCACTATATTCTGGCAGGATTTGTAGTATTAGCGGTGTATGTGCTTTGTTATAGCTCATCCATTTTGTTGTTGTTGGTCTGTGAAAAAAAGCTTTACATTAAAAGGAACTGGAAAGACTGCAGATAAAGAGACATAATCAGAAACAAACACCACTGATGTGTGTTTTATTTCAAAATTAATTTCTCATGTGTTTATAGGTCGTTCCAGATTCAATGTTGTCCTAGTTTTCTACTTTGGCCCACTGTGAGTTTGGTGTAGAGGTTTGAGAACCACTGTGTTTGTTTATCATTGCTCTGGGCTGTGGAACAGTGATCCTGTGACTTACTGTACAATGGTAACGTTGGTGTTCTGGCAGATTTTTACATAGTGTTGTTTCCGTATTCAATATAAGTGTCTTAAAAATAAAATTAGTCTGAGTGGAAATGATGCTTAAAAAAAGACTCAAATTGTAAGACTTTTTACTGGAATTCTATTTTTAGGGAAGGTGATGACTTGACTTCATGTACTGAATATCTAATTTTAACCTCCATTTCCTTCCCAAAGAAGAAGGATGATTTTTCCAACTGCTGCTGATCTTGCTCAATTTCTTCAATTTACCAGCTTCATGAATGATTTTACATAAAAACATTCAGTTTTTTAACTTTCAAAAGTCAAAGCTTAGAATTTTCATGTGTTGATTCAAGGTTCCGACGTAAGAAAACTATTACAGTGGTGAATTTTGACAGTTTCAGTGACTTAACGGATCGAAATGTTTGACAGTTTCAGTGACTTAACGGATCAAAATGTCATCAATGGTTGGATTGGGCAACTTGTTATTTGTCACAGGTCTTACCACAATCATGTCTTACCAGGGTGGAGACACGGGGAGTAGATGGATTCGAACCTGAAACCTGCAGCAGTGAACATCAGAATCCTACAACTGCATCACCATCACCCTCACTGATGATATAAAAGAAGTGGCTTTTTATTCAGGAAGTAACACCTTACACTTACAGGAATGAGGTGTTGAGGTTAGAAGTGGTGGTTTTTAGTTAGCAACCATGCACCGAAACCAGAAAAACAAGCCTAGACCTGAGATGATTATGACTGTGCTGTGAGCGGTCCTTACTTTCAAATTTCATAGCAACTCGTCCCTGCATCATCATCACCATCATCATCATCATCATCATCGTCACCATCATCATCATCATCATCATAACAACATAGTAAAATTGTCTAAAGGTGTCCATGAAGAAGAAAGTGACAAACTTCTGATGATCTTGTCGGTTCCATAGTGTAGCGGTTAGCACGCCTGCCTCGAAGCCGAGGGTTCTCAGTTCGATTCCCTTATATATATATATATATATAAAAGGCATCTCAAAGGCATCAACACAGGGACAAGAAGGACTGCTGCCCCCTCCCTGCCCAAGGATCACCTACACCTCATGTATTGTATATCTCAGCAGGGAATCGACCAGACAAACCCAGTGGCTGTCGACTCTGGATGCTTGGGAAAATACTCAGACACCAGGGACAAATATTTTTAGAAAAAAACAATGACAAAAAAACCCCAGTCATTTGTGTGAAAAGGTCATTTGTTACTAAAACTGTGTTGTATTTAAGGAGGCTTCCAGCAGTGTTTTTGCTGCTTATAGAGCTGAGCATTCTATTCTATTGTATTCTGTTCTAATCTTTTTTTTTGTCATATTTTTGTGTTATTTGTCATCACGTCTACCTCCCTATTTTAGAAAAGGGGAATTTGTCAGCATCATTACGTGAAATGTAAATGATAAGCAAAGCAGCAGTGGGAAGTAAGGTCAGTGGTTCTTTCACTGAAGAGGATGCACAGATAAGATGAAAGGTTTTACAACTCAAAAAAAGAAAACAACTTTATGACTGTGTTGTTATTGTTGGAGTTCATAACAACGTTTATCCTCACGCTCGCTCCAAACGTTTACCTGCATCAGTTTTACAGAGGCCACTGAGGTACATGTAGTGGAACACGGTTGAATCTGTGTGGTCGTCATATGACAACCATTTGTACTTTAACCACACCGCGGGCATACGGCCAACTGGAACCTGAGGACAGCTGGGTCCATATGGGTCCCAGGTTTGAAACCACTTCAAACCCGCACAGAACGTTCAACAAATTGTAAGTGGGTGGGTGGGTTTTCCTCTGAAGGATTGCAGGGGGCGCTAGAGCTAATGCAAGCTAATCCAAGCTACCATTTAGTTAATGAAGACTGCACAGTGGACATTGTTGTCCTGCTTGTACATTTACACTACTTCAATCCACAGTACTTCAAGTACCCAGAGAAAAGCATGAATGAGAGGGAGGACACATTTGATCACTATGAAAGGAAAAAACGTTCTTCATCCAAGAGCACAGTGTTGATCTGAGTTGATGTGTGACAGAAAAAAACCATCAACAGAAACATTTCTGAGATTCATATTTCTTGACACTTCACCGACTTAGAACCTAGAGATTTGAGTCAAAACGTCTGTTTTTACTGTGTTAAATGTTAATGAGTGAAAGGTTTCTTTGTTGAAATAAAGAAGAATCCAAACCCCAGCATGTAAACAAAGACCCTCTACTCCCAGCCATATGTAGAACAAGCACTGCACTTGAAAAAAACAAACGTGTCAAACAGATGACTTCCTGTTAGGTGGGCAACATCCCCTCAAGATCCACACGCAGCCTCTCCAAACGCGTACACAGAGACACGCAGACACAGCAGGCGGGCAGTGACACTTCCCACCTCCACGCACGAACACACAGAAAGACAGCATCGCAGCCTCGTTGTGCTCACATACACTTCTCTCTTAAACTTCCTGTTTGTGGGCGGCTGTGTGTGAGTGTGTTGTTCGGTGCTCCAGAGAACTACAGGCAGATACCTGCGACTGATGTCACTGTTTGACTGCAGAGATCTGCCAGTCCCAGGATGTGGCTTCTTCAGTCTAACCAATAGTGTAGATGGTGAATGAATGGAGTGAGCTGGAGATGCACTCGGTGAAACCCCTGGTCTTGTTAGACGAACACCGAGGACCTGGACCTGCTGGGCAGTGAACTGATGCAGGTAGGACACAGTGACACTTGTAGATGTTTAAAGGTGCTTATATTTAAGATACTTCAACAAAGGTAGATATATATATATTCATATTCATATTATTAGACAGCATATATGTCTGTATATTGGACGTAGGAGAAAGCTCTCAGTTGAAGCCTGTATCACACTGCTGTCAGTGGTAAACCATTTAATCCATTGAATGTATATAGAAAAATTCAGTATAAATTATATAAATTAATTAACTTTATTAAATAAAATAAAGCTGACAGTGAGGTGCGTTGTTTTTAGATAAATAATAAAAATGAAGAATATTGTAAACGATGTAAAACCGGTGGTTTGAAAACTTCTGAATCACAACATCATTAATGGTTAAAGCTCAGTTAAAAATCCTAACACAAATGATCGGGTTCAGTAATTGCAGTATTCACATTTATATGGCTTTGAGTATTTGATATAATTTACTGTACACATTGATAGAGAGATATATGGATGGATGGATGGATGGATGGATGGATGGATCAGCTGGTCTTGTCAGAGTCGACTCTTCACTGTTTTTCCCTCAGTGAGTGACTCCTGCAGTCAGAGTCGACTCTGTTGTAAACATGTCAACACTGTGGAAGTGCAGCCGCCGTCTCCATTGTTGCCGAGAGCGGGGCAGTTGTGTGGACGTCCCCGCTCATATGATCTCACAGACCCCCCGCTGTGGAGCTATTTTAGGAACTTCTCTTTTCTCAACTTTGTATGATTCATAATTTTAGCTTTTAAAAAAAGAGGAATTAAAGAAGGAGAAGCACGGAACCAGGGCGTGATGTTTTTGTGTTTTTGACATCTTTGTATGAAGGAAGAACATTTGTTTTAGTGATGTGTTGATGTGGGATGTCAGACAGGTTCAGTTTGAGGAATGATGCTGACGTGTTGTCTCATCAACATCACTCAGTTCATTAATGGGTTTGTAAATTAGACTGCTGTGGTGTCTATCTATCACAGACAAAGCATCATTTCTTTATTCGTGGATCTGAGCTCCACATGTGTTGAAACAGTCCCACGTGGTTCAGACTAGACTTCACACTTGGCTGACATTACATTTTAGTAGAAAATAAATATCCTCTATATTTTTGATTTTGGAATTAGGTGATCGTGTTCAACCAATGTTGAAACAGAGAAATTATGGGATATGTCGTCCCTGTCTCCGTTCACCAGTGTGACTGATCTTAGATTCACTGTCTGCGGCAGAATTTGGTTTTGACCCAAAAAAAATTCCGTTTTTTGATCAGTTGGAAACCATTTTTTCAATTTTGAAGATTTAAAGATTCAACCTGTTAAACTTGTTAATTACTATTAATATTACTAATTAATATTATTTAATACATTAAGCTACACTGTCGATATGTATGGCGTCATTTACACACACAGACTTTTGGCCTGGTACCAGATGGTGAAGGACCGTAGACTGATTAATATGGTTGAGGACAAGTCTTTCAATGTGTTCTTGACTAGCTGTGACTCCTATACACCTGCCTGCTGTTATTATAGTCCTTCAGTTCCAGCAGTACACAGGAAAAAAAAGCTAGGAATGTTACTTTATTTCGATTAATCATGATTAATCGAGATTAATCACATTTGAAAATCTGAATCATTGGACAGCCTCAGGTTTTTTTGTTCTGTTGTTGCTAAAGTAACAGAACTATGTAATAAGGTCATAACATGAAATTGTCTTCCTGGTCTGAGGTGAACGAAGTCGTCTAGGACTTCTTAGAAATTTATTCGAGATTTCCTCTTCCTGTTGAGAAACAAACTGCAGCTGCTTCGACTACACGTCAGACAAACAGCTAGCAGTTGGATTGGTAATGGCAGATAGATTGAAGAGATACCGATTCTGTCGCTGTGTTTTTGAAAGCCAGGAGAGGTGACAAAAAGATCACAGGATGGTACTGAGTGTTTTTCACAGCCTGCTTCCTGTTTGTCTCTTTATGGCTGTGGTATCAGTAAAATCTGTTGTTTTCACTTTGACAATACGGAGTTTGAGGTCTACACCTCTATACACACGCTTGTGTTTGTGTGTGTGTGAGAGTGTTTTTTTGTAACAACAGGTGTCTCGTTCCAAAAAAAAAAAAAAAACCCATGTTGCACTGATGAAACTGTATGTGCTGATTGTTGTTTTAATTGATAAGAGCCCCGGCTGTTCAGCGAGAAACAAACAAATATTTTCTACAAAAATTCAACCATCTCATGAACCAATTTCTGACATTTGCAGCCTGCATTGGTGTTTTTGAGGAAGTGAGGTTCTGGTGTTGTTTTTCAATATATAAAAAAAAACAACCTCTTAACGTGTTGTAGCGGATATTTGGGGTTTGACTTTCCTCCGTGCAGTTCCACCAAATGAAGTTTTGTAAAAATCAAATTTGAGTTGAACGTCTGTTAGTGACTATGATTGAAGAACAGAATGAATTTGAGTTGAACGTCTGTTAGTGACTGTGATAGGTACAAACATCTTATCTTAGTGATTTTCTTTTTTACAGTCGGTTTAGTTTTAAACTGATGAATTGTTGATCGTGCCGTTCTGAATATCTCAGAGATTATTTTAAAAATATTATTATATTACCCTTATCTGGTGCGTGCTTCTGTAAAACAGTGCTCACAGGCATGGCCTCCTATTGGATAACACAGATGATGGTTGCAGAAAGCATCCAATTGAATTCACCCTCACCCGCCGTGCTCTGATATCCACTTCCCTGTAAATCATGATCGTACTTCACAACAAGTACAGTATACTCCATTCAAATACATTAGAAAATACTGATTAATACATACACCCAACAAGTGAACCAGATGTTTTCAACCTTACACTGTGAGATATGTTGCTCTTTCTCTTCCACTCTTCCTGTCTTTTTCTTCATCCCTCTGTCCACCACCCTCTTCCCGTCTCTCCCCGTCTCTGTCTTGCACCCAGAGACAAACACTGAGCGCCACAGAAATGGCCATTTAGCCAACCAGTAGCAGAACTGCAGCCCTTGGCACAGATCTGTGATTCAATGCCTCTCAGTAACCTTTGCTCATTCACCCACTCACCGTGCTCTGAATTCTGCTGTGTACGTGTTTTCGTCTCGTGACACCTGCGTGATTCTTACAAACATGTGGTTTTCAGAGACAACTTCTGAAAAACCTCCCACCCAAACTTTTACAGATTTTTATCAAAGGATTTTTTTCAGCACTAGACTAAAGACACTCTTTGTTTACATAGGTCTTGGTTTTTTATCCCTCATGAAACTGTGTAAAAGAGATTTCCTCTGTGTCTGAGTGTTGATTTCCCGTGACATAAGAGGCTGGTTCAAATCCAGCAGGTCAGTCAAGAGTCCGCTGACCGTCAGACTTATTTATTCAGAAAGACACACACACACACACACACACACAGCAGCCTGGTCTGTGGGAGTGTATCTCAGAGTCTGATCACACCACAACAATAGGGAGGCACCTGCTTCCTCAGCTGAGCAGGAGAGCCTTCTTCCTGTTAGGAAGCAGTTGGTAATGGGATCAGTGGGGGAGATGGGACGCAGCCCCTGAGGATGGAAGAAGAGGGTGCTATGAGAAAGAGGAAGAAAGACACAGGTGGAAGTGGAGCATCTGAGCTGCTGTGAAAGGTTTTTCAATGATCTGTGTCAGTGACGAATTCCCAACATCGTCACTTGTTACTCCTTGTGTGATGTTTTGTTGTCATCATGTAGCATTAACATGGTCTATATGGCTGGGGGGGCGGGGGAGGGGGGGCAATACAGTTGCTCTTGAAGGGCCAGTCGTAACTTAACTTAATACATTCAGTATCTGCAATTGATTAGTATATGTTTGTTATAAATAAATATAATATAACAATAAGTAATAAACCTTTTTTATTCATTAAGGTTATGAAACTCAAGAGCATGGATTTTGCTATAACCCAAATTGACTTGACGGGCTGCACTTGGACCGCGGACCTTGAGTTTGGCCCACTTGGTCTATATTGTAGACCAGTTGCCTATATTTTATACATTATTCTATACAGCAAGAAGTTTAACAGAAGCTGTGGCTAATGTGATCACAGATGTTCAGCTCTGACCATGTGTTGTTGATTCTTAATAGAGCCATAGAGTTGCCATGGTGACCCCGAACTGTCCATATTTAGATAAATCCACCAACATCTACAGACGTGCTCTCGTTATGATTGGACTCCTGATAGCCACTCATAAAAAAGTGGAAGTGACCTTGTTGACTCTTAGGGATGTGCTGCCTACATCCTCTTATGCAACGCTACAGTCTCATGCATTTGCAACATGATCAGAAACTGTTCGTAAACAAGTGTGACGACACTCAGGAGTGAAATTTGCTGTTAAAATTCCAGTCAGAGCTAACTGTAGCAACACCCAAGGAAGTGCGTTCGTCTTCGCCACGTCAACCGTCAGCGCGACATCTGCACCGCGCTGTTCAGCAGTTGCCTCAACACACTGAAGATCCATGCGTTGATTCTGTAATTCAGACCATTTAGTAAAAAGAAACATGGGCTTCCACTTCATAACATCTCGCTGTGGTGCAGTCACAGCATTAGCACTTCTACGTTTCTGCTCTGAGACTGCTGACATCCTGAGCGCTGTAGTTATTATGGCTTTAACTAAATAGTTCCTTCCTCCAGCCTCGCCGTGCCTCAGTTCAGCCCAGTCCATTTTGGACCACAGCCCTTTAGCATAAGTATCCATTATTCTCGCCTTTACATCCCCCCCCCCACACACACACACACACACACCGGTCACCTCTTGTGGTACAATAGCTCTCTGGAGAATGAATGGCCTGCTGAGGAAAGACTACTACATACAGTAGATGTGTTGTTTACCTTTGTCCCAGTGGCATTGTTAAAAGGCAACGGTAGGAAAAACAGTTTCATTCTTCTGACCTCCCCAACCTGCAGTTTCCTGCCTCACTTCTCCATTGATATCAATGATAAGGTCAGTGGGTTGATGCATGCACATTGTATGCATGTGTCAATGTGTGTGTGTGTGTGTGTGTGTGTTTCCCCTGTATCTTTTATAACATGTGGGAATATTCTGTGTCGGCCATTGCTTTGTTTGTTTGTTGTCTCAATTTAATTTTGTCAATTTAATCCAAAATGGAGGACCATTTGAGGACACAGATGCAGTCTTTCCTCTGTGTATGAATATTGACTATTGAAAAACCAATCCTGTAGGTGGCAGTAATGCAACCGTTGCAAAGCAGGTGAAGCTCAAAGAAGAAGAAATGATGTGACCTGTGTTAGCAGGGTTAGCGTAGCCTAAGTTAGCCACTGAGGAGACATTTCATTTTTCTTCCACTGCTTAGTTCCATTAAGGGTTCAGAGGTGAGACATCACCCACCCTGGACACTGGAGCGTCCAGTTAACCTGGAATATCCAGAATACACACATGAAGAACATGGTAACTCTATGTAGAAAAAGAGCTAGTCACCATCAGGAATCAAACAAGGGATGATCTTTCTGTAAGGCAAGACTACATACCACTTGTCCAACGTGTGGCTCTACACATGACCTACACATATCAATGTTTTTATATAACCCGTGCTGGAAAATGGATCTAAATTTTCCAAACAGGTGGTTTAAAATTAATTTTTTTTTATATCAACCCACATGGGCCTTAGGGCCTTGATTTTTTTATATCAACCCACATGGGCCTTGGTGGTTCCAGGTTAGGGTCAGGTGCCATCAGAACTCCCAACCTGAAGGTCGAAAGACAACCAGACTTTCGTGTAATGTGTAATGTGTTGGATTTTGTTTCGTTTGGCGTAATATCATCACATCGGCCTTTCTGTGACTGTGTTCTGTGCCATTATCGTATCTGGACTATCCACAGTGTGAGTCATATGTCAACACCATTCGTTGGTTTCATTGGTTTATATCTGTCCTGTCGCTGGACTGGGGAATTTGTCTCAGTCTCTGAGGGAAACTCTCAGAAGATGTAATCAGAGGCAGCTGTGATGTCACTGCTTATTTCTGTCTCTTTTGTTTTCATTTGTTTCTTCCGTACTACCTACATTTAAAGAGCAGATTGTATCACATTGATGTGTTTCTAGTATTGGTGTCAGGTTGATAAAAATCAGCAGTGTTTGGGATGAGTAAATTACCCGTCAGACAGTTTTATTACTTGTGCTTTTTATCTAAGAAAAAAAAAATGACACAAAGGGTGACTTCATTTCTTTAAAAAAAAAAGCCATTTACTAATCCATACTTTTTCTATTTTATTTATGTTTTGTAAATGCTGGTTAAAATATTGAAAGAATGGAACTAGATAAGCAAACGATGTCGTACAACTGTCACTTTGACAAACATCTGAAATAAATAAATAAATAAATTAAAGAGTAAAAGAGAGCAATCATTTACATAAAATTAACTCCACTGGTAAATGTTTACAAATGAGCTCCTTCTCTGTATGAATCAGTGCCGGGCTGCCCCTGCATCTCTTTATGCATATGATCTGTGAGCAGTTGTGTTCATAAAGGAACTGAAACAACTTGACACACCTGGGTTGTCCTCAGTTGCTGCATGAGGGAGAAAAACAGAAAGAAAACAGTAAAAATGCTGTGATAAACGTATAAACATCCTCCATGGTAAAGATTTGAAGTACTTACTAAGATTGCAGTAATACTGGAATTACACGTTGGACTGTTTTGCTCCACATTTCGTAATTAGTCTTGTGAAAGTTTGTACTACCAAAACAGTGTCGACTGTTTTAGACTTTTGCTTTTGTTGTGTTTGACGGCAATGTGTGTGTGTGTGTTTTTTTTAATACAGTTCAAACCTAATCCTGTTTAATTACAGGCTGTGGACTTTCCTCTATGTTTAGCGACAGTGCTATCTCTTATTACTCGTTTTTGTGTGCTGTAGCTCAGTGGTTTTTGGGCATTCCCTACTTTCAACAAGTGGGGATTTTCAAGCCCCTCATCGCCCCAATAAAAATCTTGACAAATTACATTTCAAATTTATGGAACTAACACCAAGTAACGTCATATTTTTAACCAATCAAAATCAATAACATCAAAAAACAAAGTTCTAAAAGAGAAAATAAAAGTGCAGTTTTGCCATCATCACTTGACCCTAAATATTTCTATATCTGTCTTGTCGGCTGTAGATCATTTTAAAGAAGATTGAATTTTTGTAATAATAACATTATCCCTCCTATTTTTGCATCTGCATTACTTTATAATTCATTGTCCCGTCTTTGTCGTTTTATTTATTTTTTTCTTATCAAATCCCAGTGAGATCAACATTTTTACTGGTTGATCGTACTAAGTAAATCGGATCAACATTTTTACTGGTTGATCGTACGTAGGAGAACCGCTACACTCTCTTCAAGTAAAGAACAACTTCATAAATTGCAAGACTCATTCAGACTTGTGGTCAGGGACGTGTAATTTGTTATTGTGATTCAGACCTGACGCGTTTCTCATTTTTACACGTTTGAACTAACAGCAGCTACATGCCCTCATGTGGTTTTGCTTGTGATAATTTAGCAGCTCCGGTCGCAAACAGCAAAACAACAACAGCGTGCCCTGCGTATTTGCATGTCTAAAAAAGTCTTTCGGTGATGTTTGTGTTCTCTTAGACCTGCAGTATTTTCCTACTTGGCAAATATTGTGCCTTTATTCAAAGCAGATACACAGAACACGACTGTGTCCGTGTGAAGGCAGCATGTACGTGAATGTGACTGTCTTTCAGGAGTGTGTGTAGCTGTTATGCAACCATGCAAAAATATTTCAAAAGTCATGTTCAGTCTGGTGTTTTGATGATAATGTTCCCAATGATTCTGACTTTCTCCACAGAAGGTGAGTGAGAAAGATGCAGCACACCTCATGTACGGAGGACAGGATCCAGCACGCTCTGGACAGGTGCCTGGATGGACTGAGACAGAGTCCCACAGAAGCTCCTCACTGGGACGGTAAGCTCTCTTTGAATACAATCCAAGCAGTCAGGACAGGGGTCAAGGGGTCAAACTGATGGGTCAGGACCCTAAAACCCTCTAAGCTGTGCTAAGTATTCAATAATAATAATAATAATAAAATGAATCACAGGTTATCTATTTGATAGCTTCATTAGGTTGATTTCCCTGAGGTCAGTTCGTATGTTCGTTATTTTTATTTTGTAATAATGACTGATATCTTTACAGTATCTTAATAAGATCTAACCGAAAATGTATTTCCTCATTATCTCTACACCTGTGTGACTTTTGCATAAAAACTTTCTGAAGAAAAGGGAATTATTCCTGAAATAGTACTTCCCCAGTATGAACAGTAGGGGAGAAATTAAAAACGTTCCCACTACATGTTGTAGTTGTAACTGTAACAACTGTCAAATTTAGTTTCATATTTTAATATGTGAAGTGTTTTGTATTCAAGCCCCTTTTAGGAAGCTTTTAAACAAAAACTGTTAAATTAGTTTTATGTTTTTTAAACAACAAAATTTAAAACAAGTACTGAGAATGTTGCCACCGTATATTCTTCCATTACTTCTACATATATATATCTAGTGTTTGCCGTAGCCCTCGGCAAGTCTTTTTTAATGTTTTACGAAACTGTTGTGCTTTTACTAGACAACTGTTTTATTTCTGAATTTCCTAAGAAAAGTCAATATAACATTTGCCCAAAACTCAAATGCGTGACTTTGATTACATCAAAGCTCAGGATCCAGTCAGGTTTGGACATCCCTGACTTTCTTCATCCCTTTGGTAAATGGTATTAATTCACCTGTGTATGTCCTGCTCCTTCAGTACTGTATAAGTGAACCCCCTAAATAACATAATTAAAAAGAAGAAAATAATTAAACATTAACTACTAACTCAGTTATTTGATCAAATAATTAAACATTAACTACTAACTCATTTGATTATCTTTGCTGATTATCTTTGCTGATTAGACACACAAATTATTTTTTGAAAAAAATATTAATATTGAGTCTGGAAATTAAATTTTAGATACGAACTTTGCTTCTTTTTTTTAGTGGTTTGTGTTTACAGTTATAGACACTTCCCTCAGAGTTTATATGTGTTTGAGGTTGTTGTTTGTGACGCTGCTGCTATAAAACTACAACAGGGAAATATGTTATTGGGTGTCGGTGTTGGCAATGAGAAAACACAGCTGGGAGGAAATGGTGCCGCAGACCACAGTGTGGAGCTAGTGTGGTACTGGGTAAAAACAGGGGACGTTGCCTTCATCCACGAGTGACACTCACTCAGACAAACAGGATTGGGTTGTTTAGCTACTTTATCAAATGTATAAAATAATTATGATGTTATATCTATATAAACATCACCTGCAGGAGGCGTCTCTTCTCTCCAGATACTTGGAGTCGCTGGTACAGTTGAACTGATGTCAAATCTCTACTCTCAGCAGTAGGACTGACGCTAACGGTTTATTAGCCACTGATGAGTTCGTGGCTAAAAACCATTAGCTTTTTAGGTTTTAAAATTTTAACAGCACATAATTATTCTAGTGTCAAGAGGAGCAAAGTAAGTAGATAGATGTGAAGAATGTTTTCTTTTCATCTTATAACACCAATTAGCACTAGCAAATGTAAATGCTACATTTGCTAATGCTAACTGAGGCTGGGAGAATAGATAGATAGATAGATAGATAGATAGATAGATAGATAGACCAAATTTGCACTTAAGAAAGAGCAACATTTTTCAAAATTTAGTTATGTATTTTTAAATATCTAGTGTGTAATTAAAAACATTATTTTAACTGTTGGTCTGAACAATTGAGCTGTTGCTTGTCTATGTGGACTAAGGTGAAAACAAAAACTTCAGTAATTGAACTGCTGTGTTTCAGTGCTCATGTGCTCTGTGGGTCAGTCTATGAATCGCTGGAGTCTGGAGGAGTTGGTGAAGAGAGATCCGGACAATTTCATCATCCTCTTACAGCAGATTATCACGAAAACCAAGGAGGTGAGAGGACGGGGGAGTGAAGGATGACGGAGCACATTTTGGAGGTGAGAGGACGGGGGAGTGAAGGAGGAGGAGGGAGAAGGATGACGGAGCACATTTCTATGGTTGTTTATTCCACACACTCTCTTTGTTGCTGTTTGTGTTCAGGTTCAGGAGCAGTGTCAGTACGAGCTGGTCGTTCCTCTCGCCATCATGTTCTCGTCCACTCTGCTCCAGGTACAGTATGATAAATAAACAACCGTTCACACTCACATTCACACCACTGGTCAATTTACTGTGAACAATCAACCATGTTTTTGAAGCAGTAGTACTCAGAGAAAACTCACAGTGAGAAAGTACTGTAGTACAGGATGACCATCAATCAAGGTGTTAGACCTAGGCTAAAAAACCACATTGAACCTAGTCTTACAGTAATCAGTCCTTTGTCTAAAATTGGTCATAGAAGAGACAACAGGTACTTCAGTAGTTTGTTTTGTCCTCACTGACCAATGCCAGATGCCGGTACTGCAAATACTCATACTGAAACTGCAGTTTTACAGTTACTGGAAACAAAGCCACACTGTGAACAATTACCAGCCACACCCCACCATTAGGTTCAACAGGTGTTCATTTTAATCATAAATGCTGCACTGATCACGGGCCGAATACTCATGCAGTACTGTTTTTTTATAACTAAAGTATTGTGACAGCAGAGTTTGGGGAAGTTATTCAAAAACTTCCAGAAGTTCTCCTTTATTAGGAAATATATGGCTTCACTCACAGAGTCGTACTAACTGCTCTTTGCACACATCTGAGACACTGTAAATCACAAATATATGGCTTCACTCACAGAGTCGTAATAACTGATACACTGTATAAGTCACGTTGAGGTATTTGTTTCATTCACATCACAAGGGGTTTATGCTTATGAAATGTTAAAAGATGTATTTTTACGATACTACGGAATGTTAGTGAACCTCTAAGGCTCCATACATTGTGTTTTCTGGTTGCAGACTCCATTCTGTCCTTCAGAGATTCTAGACAAGGCTGTTGGGGTGTTTCGTTGTTTTCTCACCTGGCCTGAGCCGTACTGCAGTGTGTGTAAAAGCCTCCTGACCACGCTGCTGGCGGAAATCAGAGCTCCAGGTATTTATGTTTATTTATTTTGTACTATTTTAATGTGTACTGTGTTACTTTAACATTGAATCTATGTCCGCAAATGTTGATGACATCGATTATACACTTATAATCGATGTCATTATACACAAATGCCTGACCTCTAGTGGAGAATTAGAAGAACTCGTCGGTGGCAGCGTTAAGGGAAATAAGATAAGGCTTCACAGGAAACAAACAAACGAACTTCTTCTAATTTCATTTCTTTTTTACTGTGCACATATTAAAAGCAGAAGCCATTTGTAAAAACAATTGAAAGTAAACACTTACCTTGAATTTTACAGAAAGAGGAAGTTGAAGGCACACCACAAACAACTGAATGAATACATCTGAATACCTAGTACATGTGAATTTACCATATCAACGTGTATTTATGTTTGGCTTCCTAGTTATACAATTCTAAAAAAAAAAGTCATTTAATTTCTGTCATGTTTACATGAAAATAAGAATTATTTGTGTTGTTTACCTCACAGGGATCTCCTTCCAGAGACTGGTGAGGGAGGAGCAGGGTCTGAACTCCTCCAGCCACTGCTCCAAAACTATGTAAGTCTGAAGCTCTTCTTAACCAAGAAAGGGTGTTCTGACCCCTAGTGGTACCCAAAAGTATTGCATGGGTGCTTGTATATATATTTGTTTATATACATACATAGTATATATATATATAGTTACTTAAATATATTTTTGGTTTTTAAAATGTATTACAAGTTAAACTTAACAAATGCAAAAATATATATTTTGTGTCTATTTTCAACATATAATATATATATATAATGTAATACACAGATGTATATACAAGTGTTGTTGTAAAGTAGAGGAATTGCAGTTGTTTTCAGTTGTAAATGTAATTACAATAATTATTCATTTTACATTTCAGGCCAGCAGATTATTATTGATTGATTTTAAACTTTTTTTTATTGTGAATTTGTGTGAAAATGAACTAGTAATTTGGCCCTTAAAAATTTTAGTTTTGGCTGTTTTTATTTATGTAATTATTTGAATAATTGTTTCTATTGTAAGTAGTTGTTCCATGTTTTATAACACCACTATTTAAAGACATGACATGGAAACAGTATACAGCACAAATGCAGGGTCTGTGGGGCAAAATAAGCCCAGAGGGTTCACAAGACAACACTGTGGGGCAAAATAAGCCCAGAGGGTTTACAAGACAACAAATGTGCCATCAGTCCACCGAGGACAGCACGTTTATTTAGCACCGTCTGCTTTTTAGTTGAACAGAACTGTGTTCCTTTTATTTCCATCTGTATTTCACCGATGTCTCATCAGATCTTATGTCAGCTGTTACTCGAAGAGAGAGGAGTTGAGCACAAAGAAATGATTCAGCTCACCGACTCCCGCCTTCGAGCAAACTATTTATGTGTCTTGTGTCACTTCTCGACTGATTTACTCCAAACATTAAACCACACATTGCCACACACTTACATCCTTTGTGTGCCTCCCCATGTGAGTTTGGTGTTAATACTCACACTTGACCTTCAGTGACATCATCTGTGTTTCCGCCTGCAGGACGGTGCTGCTGATGAATCCAAATGAGGTGCCGGCGGATTTTCTGTCAGTGGCCGAACAGCTCTCGAACATCAACTACTCTCAGAGCGACACCTACATCACGCTGATCAAACATGCCTTCCAGTCCACGCTGGGCTCCAAGTACCCTCTCCCCAGTATCCACAGAGCCCTGCAGGTACGTGCTGCAACCAGTCACCCACACATCCTGTGGTTTTTGATCATTTATTATAAAACGTATTTAGATCTAAGACACATTCAAAATCATTTATTTTTCCTTTAGACCAATTACGATAATATATTGTAATAATTTCATTCCATCACTTATTTCCTTACAGGACAAATCTGTAAGTGAACTGAGTGAGATCTTTTCAGAAGTCAGTGATGTCATAGAGACAGCCACTGACATGACTGACCCCCTGAAGGCACGCAGTCATGTGACACAGGCTCTGGAGGCCCTGGGGGAGAGACTGAGAATCCCAGCTTCCAGGTTCAGGAAGTCGGCTGACGGTGAGAAGAAACGTCACAGTTCTCCATGTCAATCATGTTTCAGTTTTCTTTTAATACATCTTGGAATTTTGTTTTTATTTTGTCTGCTTTCTTTTCCATCTTTACAGAAATGCTGCAGACGCTGCCACTGCCCACGGCCAAATGTTACATGTTTCACTGGGAAAAGGATAATTTTGGTAAAATAATCACTATTCAGGCCTATTTTTTATTATTATTTTTTATGGAATTTAAACCTGACATCACTAACTTCAGTCAAAGAAAAAGTTGTCTATCTATGGTTTTGTTTTTAAATGCCAAAACGGATTTTTAATGCAGTCTTGTTTTGAAAGCAGCTTTGGGTTAAAGATGGGAACAATGACACTACTGATGTCCATTTATTATGACTGTGTTGTTTATAGCAGCAGTTTCCAAGGCAATACTGCTTTAGGGCACGAATCTACTACACGGCACAAGCAGCAACAATCCCTCCTTGGTCACAACAAAATTTCCCGACCCCTTAAATTATTTTACTGACAAACATTGTAATCAAACTAACTTTTTGTCAAACCCTCCACTCATGTTAACATAGTTACAGATATTACAACAAAAAAGTCCAATGTGCTTTATTTTATTCATTGTACAGATATTTCTACAAAACTGTTGTTCACCATGAACTATAAAAACACCTTGCTATAGCTCCATGCCCTTATTGTTGGCCCAGTTGATTTTTGGCAACCAATGCAGTCCAACATTGTTGACAAAGAGTCAAATGTTTTGTTTTTTTTATGTATTGGTGTTGATAATGCATTTTCAACAAACCAAAATCTGTTCTTAAGTTTGCTTCTTTTCATTCCTGTAGATGTTCTGAACACCCTCATGGACCATGGCACTGACTACGTTGGACAGGCTGAGGAGGAGGAGGACGCAGACATATACGTGAGCGAGGCGGAGAACATGGCAGAGACTGATATAGAAGAGGAGGATGAGGAGGGATTGGACAAAGAAGAGCAGAAACACACGGTGGAACTGCCTTCAATCTCCATCCTCCATAACAGTTATGCTGACAACCATCGTGCCTCCACCTTCTCCACCATCTCCACCATCTCCACTGTCTCCTCTGCCTCCAAAGACTCCATGTTTTCAACCATGTCTGCAGCCTCAGAGTCCTACAGTCACTCTCTCTTCTCCGTCTCCTCGGGAGTGGACAGTGGCTACTTCGAAGAATACGACGACTACATCTGCTCCTCTCCGGTCTCGGAAAAATGTTCGCCCAAGTCGATCAAATCCCCAGCCCGGTTAAGCCAGCACATTTACAAGTTCTTCTCAAAGAGCCCGCGCTCGCTGTGCCGGGCCAAGAGCTTAGGAAACACGGAAGCCAAAGACCTTTTGTTGGTCAGAGAGAAACGCTCGTACTCTCTGCCTCAGCAGGTCAAGTTACACAGCCCTGAGCCGCCGCTTCAGCCACAGAGCCAAACTCTCCGGCACGTCTGCTTCAGGAGGAGGCCGATTCTCAGCAGCGAAGAGGACAGTAAAAACACAACACTGAGGGTCGTTGTGTTCGGTGCCGATCATGTGGCTGGGAAGGTGGCAAGGGCCTACAACAGCCTGAGGAGGAGGGAGAGTACATGTCCGCATCTGAGCAGGGTCTTCAACCTCCAGTTTTACTTTGTGCCTGTGAGGAGAGACTCAGCTGGAGGACACAATAGTCTCAGGGCTCCTTGTCCCGTGGTTCAAACTGGGGCGACCAAAGGAGCAACCCTGCCCAATGTAAGAACAGGACCAGTAACATTTAGGTGTGGGTGGAGGGGTGGGGGGCTGTTTGGTGGTCATTTCAGTTAAACATATGTGTTTTTGTTGTTATCCACACTAGGGTCTGAGTCCAACCAGCTCGGGGGAGAGTACAAATGACATCGCCCACCTGCTTGGTATGTTGGACCCTTGGTACGAAAGAAACACGCTGAGTCTGCTGACCCTCCCTGCCAGCGTGGTCTGCCAGGTAAACTGATTCATTAAATGTAATCCGAGCCAATCCAATATTCCAGTGATGACAGGAATGCTCTGGATTCCGATGCCTCTGGAATTCGATTGAAGTTGTTTGGATTTTTTTTTTTTGTTCACCTGCAGCAAACCTCAAAGACGGAGTCTGATTCTTACGACGGTTCGTATGAGCAACGTCTACCCATTCTGGCCGACTTGGTCCTGTACTACTGTCGCTACGCCGCCCGGCCGGCCCTGATTCAGCTGTATCAAGCTGAGGTGAGACACACATATGGTGCAAATCATACACCACGGAAACCTTTGGAATAACAGCAGGTTTTGATTCCCTTAATGAATCACCACCATGAACAGTCTTCATTTTTTAACCCTGTAGCTGACTTTGGCCGGCGGTCAGAAGAGAACTGAGGTCTTTGTCCACTCACTGGAGTTGGGTCACACTGCAGGGACACGAGCCATCAAAGCTATGGGTGAGAGCAACACACACACACACTCACACACACACATACACAAGAACCAGAGCTCCCAGTTTTCTCTGCTGAAAGGTTAAAGGTCTATGGTTAAAGGTTAAAGCTCTATGGTGGAGACGGCACCATATTTATAAGAGGAACAATGTGTTTTTTTTATCATGATTCAGTCCACTTCTACATTTCTAGTTTCAGTGGTCACCGTCGCCACTTGCACTTCTGATATTTTATTTCCTTTTAAAAAGGAAACACGTCTGCGAAAAACACATTTTCTAAATGGTGTCAGTGACCGAGGAACTTCCGTAATTAATAAATAATTAATTATTTTACTGCACGTACATATATGAATACACTGTATATATATATATATATATACTGGTACTTTATGACCACTTTATTGTTCCATACTGTAGAAGTCAAATGTTTGTGTTTTCTTCTCTCCATAAAGGAGCGGCCAGTAAACGGTTTGGTATCGATGGCGACAGAGAAGCAGTTCCTCTGTTGCTGGACTTGGTTTACAACAGGGTAAGATGACGTGGTTTCACTCATCATTTTTCACCAACCATATCCAAATATATATATATATCAACTATCTGTATTAGTTACACAGTTACATACTGTATACTAACAGATTGAGGAAAAGATTCCCTCACCTAACCCTGGTTAGTCCATTAACCTTTAGAGACAGTCCACAAACTCCAAACTACTTCATCAAGTCTAGTTGTCCATCAGGAAAGACCACATTAACAATCAGCAGTAAAGACAGTAAATTAAAATGATCCCACATGCTGTAGGTGTTCCCTGGTCTGAAACTGTGGTTCAGAGACATAAACAGTATATACTTGTCTTTGGGTTTTTATAATATCATGCATGTATTCAAAGATATTTTCCCTCCTTGTCTTGTTCAGGTGGTCATTAGTGGGAGAAGCCAGTGGAAGAGAGAAACAAAAACTTGTACTTCAGTCAACTTGACAAAAGCGTGCAAGAACCCTGAGGACCTTGGTATAAAAATTCTCACCTTTACTGCTTACCAATAAGCATTATTTATCTTCATTTATATTCTTTCACAAAAAAAATGTTTTTTACTTTTTTACTATTTGTTACAGTTAGATTTTATTCAACCATTTTTTGTTTTTCTCAGACTCAAAGATGGAGTGCCTGCAGTTAGTGACGACTGAGGTTCTGAAGAGACAAGGTGGCAAAAGCAAGAAGGGCTACAATCAGGTGATCGATCAGGCTCGATGTGGTTGTTTTCATTTGTTACATGCACTCACAACAACAGGATGTTAAACTCCATACACTCTGGCTTTCATCTCAGGTTCATACAGAGTTCTTCATTATTCATGTCAGGCGAAGCCACAACCGACAGCTAACACTGGTGTCTACTGTAGTCATGACCTGAGAATCGTATCTGTTTTAGATGAACTGTGATCTTTTTCAGGTCATGTCATCTCACATCTCAACTTTATGGAAATGTGTGCTTTGAAAAGAGAAACGCAATGAAACACACGGATGTGTCAGATCAGATATGAATGATTGTTTTAAACGTGTGTTCTTTTCTCCCTGATCTTCATAGCAGCTCAACACAACAGAGGTCAAGGTGGACAAAGTGCAGGTGTTGGGTACCGGGAACACAACCTTTGCCGTCTGTCTGGACCAGGATGAGAAAAAGATACTACAGACTGTCACCAGGTGTGGACTTGGTCAAATATTGAGACATTCACTCACACACATTCACATTGTTTATCTTGGCTGCATGTTTATTTATTTATTTATTTATGTTTTGTCTCTTTCTGCCCGGTACAGGTGTGAGGTGTCAGTGTGCTACAAACCCGACAGCTCTGCTGACTGGAGGTTAAATCAATTCCAGACCTCAGCTCAAATCCAGCCCCTCCATCCAACCTTCTGCTCCCTCCTCTGCCTGCCCATTGTCACTTTCAGTGGCGCCCTCCTATGAGACTGCTGTACAGTGGATTTATGAGCGAGGACGGCAAAACCCTGCACCAGACGGTTCTGTTGTTTGAGGCTGGAGGCTCATGGAAAACACAAGAAATCCCATGAACATGAAGGCTGGGGGCTGCGTACTGTGAGACTGAACCCTGAACTGGCTGCAGCCTTGGTATCGATTACGCAAAAGAAAGAAGGATCACAACGAGGGTGGATGAAACTGAAATAGACCAAATATTTTTTGTGTCCTAGCAATCACTGACTACTGTTGTGGAAGCTGTTCAAGTTTCCTTCCTCAGGTTTCAGTTCTTCATTTTCTTTTTGCAGAAAAGTGACTGTAAAACTCTCTTTGGTCGTAAACAGTGGACTCTGAGGGACTGAGACAAATGTACATTCTACACAAAGACTTAATATTGAGAAACATGAACATGGAGGACCATGTGGCATTCAAACAGGCTGACAATAGTACTATGTACTATGGAATTATCATATGAAGAGATTATATCTGAAAATGCACACTATTAACCTTTAATAATAAGTAATATCATCTTTGTAAAATTTTAAATGCTACTCTTCATTTTATGTTTTGAATATATTTAAATATAACATATCTCCTAAGGAGTTTCATTAATGTTTCTGCAGTTGAGTTTGAAATATGACCAGCAGGGGGCTCTGTTGATATTCTTTTTATTTTGTATGGCGTAACTTATTTCAGACTTTTTGATTTAAACAACAACAACAATAATGCACATTTTATATAAACGATGTAACTGTTTTTCCACGCTGTAAATGATACTGTTTTAAAAGAGTTTTATATGATACAAATGATACTGTTTTAAAAGAGTTTTATTGAGGAGATATGATATCACCACGATAACATAACTGATGGTGAAAAGCGGTTTGATGATCCCTCTGTCGAGGCTGAAAGCATTTAAATCTTGAATCACTGAGGTACTTGTATGTTTATATATATTTGCTATATAACTCCACTCTTTTTACTATGTGCCTTATTTGTGGAATAGAAAAAAGTCCATTATGTTTATATATAAAAACATTCAATATTCTAAATCTAAATTTTGTATACAAATAAATAATAATTATGAAATACGTTATTGCTATGTCTATGATGTAAACAAAAACAAAAAAACCTATCTGTCTATCTATCGGTCCACGCTTGGTGAAACACGTGTTTCAAACGCTCAGATTACGTTAGTGTGTCCTGATTGGTTGGTTGTACATGTGGGCGTGGTTGCACATACCAGCGTCCGACTGGTTTTTCAGACTGCGCAGCCATAGAGCAAGAGTGAAGTGTCAAACACAGAGGGCGGCGGGAGTCCAGCCAGTGTCCGGCGGCTCATGGAGCTGCGTGTACGTTTATAACTCAGGTGAGTTAGCTCCAATATATCAACGTTTTAACTGACAATTCACAAAATGCAAATAACTTTAAAATATATAGAAGTTTTACCAGTAAAATACTGGAGTTCATTACATTGTGCCTGTCGAACTGTGGTTTTAAAACAAGCAGCCTATTTTCAAATCTAATCAAGTTATTATTAGTATTTTAATTGTGGTGCATTATGCATTTTGTGTTAAATTCATGTAGATTAAGCTATTTTTTTTAGTAAACTAAAGTAAAGTAGCTACTTTCAGGTGTTTTTTTTTTTATGAATGAGTTGTTTTACACAAGACTGTACTGTAGGACAAAGGAAGGAGGATGTTGATCTATTTACCCCCTCCTGACATAATAACAGGAGTCTGATAAAAGTGTCTGATCTGTTGTGTCTGTTGGGAATCTGAAGCACAGCTGTGTTTCCTCCAGCTTCCTTGTAGAGTTCTTCTTCCTGGTACCGTTGGGGATTTACCATGTAATTATTGAGGTGCATGTCCGTAGGCTGACGCTGGGTTAGGGTTAGGGTCAAGTGTCAAGTCGATATTATTTATTAGCAATTATTCTATGAAAGGAAAACTAAAATCAACCACAACAAAACAGGACAACATTTGGAAGGATGTTTAATAAAGTCAATGTTATATTGACATAATGTAACAAGACACATTAAAGCATAACGTGTTTGATGTGTTTTGTATTGGAGAACTGAATTCAGTGAACAAATTGAAATAATGCCTTTTTTTTTACACTTTCATCACAACCCATTTAAACTCTTTACAGTCAACACCAGGATTAGACCAGAGCAGGGGTCTGCACCCTGTGGCCCCTGAGCCGCATCTAGCACCGTAGCCTTGTAGCAATGGCTAATTTGGCAAATTTTGCCGGACTGTTCCCAGAGGAACCACATGCTTCCTAGAGGCAGCCTGTTAACAGCATATCTGCTGCTAACACAACAATTTCCCAAATATGGGATCAATATAGTACACATTTATTTTATTATTTTTTATTATTAAGTTGATCAATTAAGTACAAATTTTACATTCATTTTTATAGCAAAAAAGAAAATGAATGTAAGCATTCATGTACAGCCAAAAAAAGAACTGTCCTCAAGGTTAACTGTGCCATGTTAGTATGTGTCATGTTAAGTACTGAATGCCATTGTGTTGGTCTTACTCAGTGTCTGCATGTAGAAATGTGCGTCCTATATTTGTTTTGTGGTAAAGCAGCTTTGTTTTTGTACTTTATATCTGTGCTACTACAATACTTCAAACTTTTCTGTCTGACTTCACAAACCTCAGACATTTTTGAAGTGGTTCTCTTACAGTCACACATTGGGATGGTTTTTTTTTTAAACTTATGGTCAAAAAGACGGATTTGGATATTATAATTATCCTTACCAGAAATGAGCAGAACAGTGTACTAAATTATTTTTGGATCTGTGTGTTAGTCACAATATAAATACTACATTTACATGTTCCTATTACAGGAGGACCACTTATTGTGGTGTGAAATATGACCAGATGGTTCTATGGGTTGTTCTGTAGCAGGAACCTGGTGTTATCCCCTGGTTACACTGTTCTCATCCTTTTATGAAGTACATTTTGTTGCTGCTTCACTAACAATTACTGGGCAGTGAGAGTGTGGAGACATACCACACAGATGACCCAGCTTATTTCACAAGAACCTGTCAGAGGAGTCCTGGATGGAACAGTCTTCTCATTTGAGCTGGTTGTAACATTTTGGATTAGTCAGGCAAAACTGACCTCCAATCAGCTGGAACGTGGCAGAATTATGACTTTGTCTCAGTCTCGTTTGCCCAGTCACTTAGACCAGTGGTTCTGTACCACCTGAGAAAACACTGAGTTCTCTAAGTACCACCATGATGACCATTGAACATTAGACTATAGCAGCAGAGGCCTTCCCTGTTAGCTTCCACCACAGCAGAGATGTTTATTCATTATGAGCTACACATTTTTTCCAAATGTTGTATTAATTGTGCATGGTATGTTTCAGATTTATTCAATTGAAAATGTAAATGTGAAAATGTGAATTTTCCCCATTTACCACTAGAGAGCAGGTGTGTACTACTGGTGGTATGCGTACCACAGTTTGTGAACCACTGAATTAGACCAAAAGTCCATATTATAATGAATAATTGACTTCATTTAAACACAATCTGGTCATTTTACTGATCCTTAATGACCCTAAATGATCTTCCATCAACCAACGTGGGGCTCACGTTGAGTCAACACCAGCCAACTGGGCCCAGATTTCTGATTTAATAGAATCCTACACTGAGTAGTTAATATGGAAACGTTGTTATCAATCAGACGAGAAGTGTTACCTTTAGCTTAAAAAGATAAAAACAAAATATGTTAGCTGTGTAAAACAATTATCCCATCTTTTTTTTTTTTGGTTGGACTCTTGATTCAAAAAAGGGAATTTTAAAAATGCAGAAAGAACAAGAAAAAAAGTCTTAGGGACTTAGTCTGGGTTTGAATATAACGTTTCATATCAAGTGTCAGCAGAACATTTCAGCACTTTGACCTTTCTCTACAAAGACGTTTCAGTAAGTTACTTCCAAGCTACATTTAGTCTGCGTCTTCATGAGGCAGCTACGCTACAGTGTTGCTTTGAAGAGTTTGGAATGCTTTGAGGAAAGTTCAGATGACCTGCAGCAATCTGGATGATGCGTTTGCTATTAGTGACTCTTTGGGAAATTGTTACGTTCAAGGTTTAACCTGTCGTCCAAGGGACTTTTTTCTTTACTTTCCCCTTTTTCAGGAATGTATTCAGGTGTTTAAATAAGTATTTTTGGCAGGAAATAACAACAATCATTAGAACTCAATGTACAATCTTTGAAAGTTCTGAAAATAAGTTTTTAGTTCTTCTGGACTCTGTCTTAGGTTTTGCTGATATTTAGTGGTTTGTTAACTTTATGTATACTTCATTTGCTGCACAATTAATGGTAAGCACTGGGTTATTTAAACAAATTTCATGGTTGGAAACAATTCATCAAACTTCTCGTACTCCTCCTCCTCAAATACTACATCATGGCACATGTACGTGGCTGTATTTGTACTGCTGACCAAGTGTAGGTGACATGTCATACATCCTGTGGTGATGAGATGACTTAAGACCCACTGACCTCTAGTGGATGTTTGTCGTCGTCGGTTGCTAGGTTGCCTCATTCTGCCCACAGTGGCTAAATAAGGCACTTACAGACTGAGCAGCTAAATCCTTACTTCATCTGACTTCTTTCACTTTTTTTCATCTGAATATCTGTGTTTGTGTTCCACTCACGTCACGTCTGCAGAGTATCCAGAATGTTTGGTTACTGACTGACTCAGTTTTCCAAACATTCTACACCAAATACTGTGATTTTAACAAAGGGTGGAATTCTAGATTAAGAAGTCTGAAAGGGATTGTTCAAACAAAGATCTACAGAAACGTCAGAGGTAATCTGCTTCACGGACCTCCGTGGATGCTGCTGATTTCAGTAAACAACACATTTTGGGAGGTAGAGAAAGTAACAGTTTTTCTGTTTATTCGATGTGCAGTAGAGTTGTTAACAAAACCACAGCAGGAAGTGGTGAAGTGATACACAGCTTATGAAGTTAACAAAAAAAATTAATGCTGTTTCCTTCTGGTAAAATCACTCTCACGCAAAATTCCCTTCCAGCTCTTTTCCTCAAACGTTTCTGACCACGGCTACAGCTGCAGCCCCTGGTGATGATCCTGATGTGGTTCAGGACTGTTTCTCGTTCTTGGTGGTGCTCAGAGGACTTGTGGGATTTAATAGAATTTTATTTCTCAAAACTACGTAAATCAGGTCATTATCCAGCCCCAAATGCAACCTCTGCAAGGAGGGCATCAGCTGGAAAGTGTGGTGTAATTTGTTATGGAGCTTTGTTATAAAAATACACATGCGTACATGTTTATATGGTTGACCAGAAAACTATCTGGTGACTGGTGTTTGTTACTCTCTGGCAAAACATTTGCTGTAATTCTTTTATTGTTTTTCCCCCTGGTTTATACTGTTGTATTTTTACCTTCTGTTTCAGGACCTTTATGTCCTGCTTTGCCTCGACATCAGTCATGCGATTCACCAGACTAATGGACAAAAATACACAGGCCTAGACCACAGTGTGGGACGAAAAACAACCCAACCAAAAACATGTCGGGGTTTAAAACCAAACCTCTTTTTACTTTCCTTAAACTGTGACGTACAAGGTGTTCTCAGATTGGATGGATTTCATTCATAGTTCTTTTTAATCAGTCAGAACACAGATGTGAATACACCCACGGCCGCTCTGCTTTGTTTTAGTCACTTCATTTCCCTGTTCCTGGTCCTGTCTGGTGATTTCCAGGTGATAACTGGGGACTATCAGGGGATGTTTCTGGGTGACTATATATGGGTCAACATATGTTTTACACTGGAAAGTGAGAGTAAAATACTAATCATTGTGACAAACCACACAACAAAATGTGACTTCTGCATTTAACCCATCACCAAAGTGAGGGTTAAAGGTCATCTCAAACTCAACTTGGCTGCTTGTGGTTTTAAACCCAACACCTTCCGGACACAAATCTGCCTCCCTTAACCACCAAGCCAGACTTAAGATTTATTAAACCAAATGTAAGATTTGAGCTGAACTTCAGCCGTGACTGCTGGTGTTTCATTTAAATAAAATAATGCACAAAAATGCTACATTTTTAATAGGCTTTGGTGTGAGGAAGTGTGGACGAGCCTTTGTTTTGGTTTGTCATCAAAGAATGGGCTCAAGGCCATTTGGAGCAGCGTGTTCACAAGAGAATCTTGTCATGTCAGTAGAACAGTGGCATTTGAATGCATCATTCTGCCTGAGTACTGCGAGCTACTGGAGATGTTTCATTTAAACACACATACGTTCACCTCCATGTACGTCACAGTCACTGCACTGCCCTGACGCCCTGACATTGACTAATGTGACATCCTCAGGTGACCCTAGAGCGACCAGTTGACCCTGTAGTCACGGTCGCAGACCACCAAAGTGACAGTACCACACGCATTCAGAAAAACCACGTCTCGTACTGGAACCCCTGTTCACTCCT